GATCTTTCTTTCAGCAACTTTTAACCTTGGAAAGTTGAAAAAGTGACTTTTATGAACATTTTTAATAGTGTAAAGTGTTTAATTGTTTGGGTTGGTGTTGTATATTACGCTACAAACACCTTGTGGTATACTATCAGTACGTTTTACTGACTTATTTCTCTTTACACCAAGGGTGTAGAACTGGCATGGACGGAGGGGACGTGTCCCCACCAATATCCACCGATTACTGAAACATCCCTGCCAATAATTCAATCAACTTCAAAATAATAAAATAATGCTCCGTCAACCCTTAGAAACCTACACGTGCAACAAGTCAAGCTCACTACAAGTTTACCGTATTACTATTAACCAAGGCTGCATGCAATTAATTGAAATTCACTTTCAAGAGTTCACACTTGCTGATGATTGATTATAAAGCCTGTTTGGCATGCTGTCCCGGGAGAGAGCCCTGAGCTCATAAGATCCTCGAGGCTGGGGCTCCCTCTTGTTTGCAATGTGAGAGGGGTGTTTGAGCTTAGGTAGACCTCGAGAACTCCCCTGCTGTAGTAGCTAATGAACAGAAAGGGATTGCTCTTAGGAAATATCTACTTACTATGAGCATGTCAATGGTGCTGATTTGGATTAGTCAATTAACTGAAGTTGCATGTCTTTGGATGGTGGGAGGAAATCGGGTAACCCGGCCTTCGTGACTATGAGAAACTATAATCAGGATTAAACAGTTAAATTGTGTCACACACCTCAATTCTCAGCTTAATTTCTCTTTATTCATACCTCCTTAAAGCCCAACTGCAGTAAAATCATGTAAATGGACTTTTGCAGCACGGGACGTGATTGCTAATTGTTTTATTAAATGTTAATTTAATATTATTAAGTACTTTATTCATATTTTTTTAAAGTGCTCATACAAAAGGCTCATGCACACCGGGAGGCCTTTCGTTTGTGTTTATCATCAGCGTTTTACGAGACGTTTTACCACATTTAATCCCAATCGATTGTGACTGGCGTCGAGCAGAAGAGTATGCAAAATCACTCCTTGATGTTAGATGGCGCTACACAACTTTAAGCTTCTGGCACCCCGCTTATAACACAGAAGAAGTGGAAGTTCACACGCTGGTTAAAGTTACTGGTGACACGTATGACCAGGCATTAAACGTAGACAGAAAACGCAAGCAAAAAACATCCCGGTGTGCACGGGCCTTTAAACGTAAACGGAAAACGCGAGCACAAAAGTCTCGGTGTGCACGGGCCTTTAAACGTAGACGGAAAACGCGAGCAAAAAATGTACTGGTGTGCACTGGCCTTTAAACGTAGACGGAAAACGCAAGCAAAAAATGTACTGGTGTGCACGGGCCTTTAAACGTAGACGGAAAACGCAAGCAAAAAATGTCCTGGTGTGCACGGGCCTTTAAATGTAGATGGTAAACGCGAGCAAAAACGTCCCGGTGTGCACGGGCCTTAAGGATGTATGTCCCCACCAATGTCGAGTAAATCTACACACAGTCACAGTCACAACCGTAAATAAACAGAAAACACTAGTGAATCACTAAATACAGAAACTGTTCATTAACAGATATCTTTGATGGTGCAGACTCGACTCTTTTTGCGAGCATATCTGAAATCTGTAAGAGCTACATAAGGGAGACCTTTAAAAAAAAAAAGAGAGAGAGAGAGAAGTGGTGTTAAAACCAGATTTAGTGTGTATGTTTACATATGAGCGCTACACCATCCAGTGCTAGCATTGCAAAAGTGCCAAAAGAAAATGTCAGTCATATATTTACAACAAACAAGCGTCCGATCAGTCCAGACTTTACAGGAAAATACTAGAACGGTACGTTTTTCATTGAATCAGAAACAGCTTGTGAAAGATAAACATCTGAATAAGAAACTTTTCTTTGATCGCCCAAATGAAAAAACTACTACAGTAATTTATAGTAAATAGCAGTGTTTTTCCAACCATGCTATAGTAATGTACCTGTTGTGGTAATTCTACAGTAAAATAACTACAGTAATGTAAACAACCCACTGTTGTTTTCTACTATGAGGTATTTAATACCACAATACACCAGTTTACTGTAGTACTAAAGCAGACAACAGTTTATCAGTTCACTACAACTGTGCATTAGCATTCATTCAACGTGTAGCGTCATGTATGTGATCCAAGAACCGTGAAGAGATGATGCCAGCCGCAGAGCACTTCTAGAGGTATCCATAATCCTGGACCAGGCCGTATCCTGAGCACATGCTGGGACAATCATGGAGGTCATGAGACTGATTCCTGAAAGACCTCAGTGACAGACGAGTCTCCGCATTGTTCTCATGGGCCAACCTGAACACCAGCCGGTGACCTACTCACACCAGCAGCTTCTCCACAATGGACTTCCAGTATTCTCCAGCCCCCAATTTCTAGACTGCAGCTCTGCACAGGAGGTTTGGCCAGAGGAGAAATGGTGGTGCCCAACAGAGCCTGGTTTCTCTTGAGGTTTTTTCCTTCACTTTCGTCGATTGGTGAAGTTTGTTACTCGCCGCTGTCGCCACTGGCTTGCTTGGATTAGGAATTGTGAAGCTGCACATCGATGGATTTGCTCTTTAGTGTTTGGACTTTCAGCAGTGAAAATTAAACCACACTGAACTGAACTAAACTGAATGTCAACTCTGAAAACTGGACTGACAGTTTCAATTTACTAGAACTTCTACATTGTAAAAGTGCTGTAGAAATCGAGATGAATTGAATCGAATCATTAACAAAGTTGTTGTAAATACTAAAATATACACAGTAACAATATAGTATAATCCAAAACACTGTGGTATTTACTTTGAATTACTATAGTATCTTTCCATGTGGGCGCTAATCTGTTAGTGCAACATTTTACAAACAGAAAAATACAGTGAAACCTTCCTGACTGCTTTAGTGAACGTAAACTGCAAGATGGCTAATTGAGTCTATAGGTGTGAAATGCAACCAAACTTGAGTGCATAAATGAACCAGTGTTGACAGGATCAAATCAATACAAACCAAACGCACGAGAGAAACTCGAGACACAAAGATTCCCCCGACAGAGACCCAACTGCAGATAATCCACCATCACTTATCGTACTGATTTATACAATTTAATTGATTTTCATTGAGATGAAGTAGATGAATCTCATTGGACGGTTTGTTTTTCAGCTGATTAAGAAAAAATTTAAGCATTTCTACAACCCAATCCCTTAGAACAAGCTGTTCTCTGTTATTTTGATATGAAACAAAGCATAATGGGTGGCGCAGTAGGTAGTGCTGTCACCTCACAGCAAGAAGGTGCTGGTTCGCGCCTCAGCTGGGTCAGTTGGTGTTTCTGTGTGGAGTTTGCATGTTCTCCCCACATTCACATGGGTTTCCTCCAGGTGCTCCGGCTTTCCCCACAATCCAAACACATGTGGTATAGGTGAATTAGCTAGGCTAAATTGACTGTAGTGTATGAGTGTGTATGGATGTTTCCCAGAGATGGGTTGCGGCTGAAAGGGTATGGAAACGTGCTGGATAAGTGGGCGGTTTATTATTCAATAAATGATAACCTATAGCCTAGTGGTTAGTGCGCCGACATATGGTGCAGTAGCACATCAGAGCGTTTTGAGTTCGAATCCCAGCTTGAGGACATTTCCCAACCCCTACTTCTCTTCCTGTCCAATCTAATACTGTTTTATCTAAAAAAAAGGCCAAAAATAAATTTAACAAAGCATAATTTCTCAACGTCTGTCAATTATTTGATAAAATTCAAATAATGAATTGGATCTCTATTCTGCTTTACTACAAATGCGAGCGAAATAAACATGATCAAATATCTAAACGCATGTTAACCATTTAATAAGCATCATAACAACCTGGTTGACCATAGGTTATCATCATTATTATTTTTTAATTGCTTATTACTATTTATAGGAGCTGTTACAGCATATTATTCAATACAAGATATGAGCCCAGAAAGTAGGAGTGCACCTTAAAGGGTTAAAGGTCCAGTGAAGTGCTTTAAAATGTTCGATGTTTGACGTAATTTGAACTGAAACACAAAGAGAGGGCTGGACAGAGTAGCTCCTCCCCTTTTAAAAGAAACAGCCAATAGTGTTTTGTTTTTCTCAAAGCTTTGCCAGAGAGTGGTTGAGCTCAAGAGCATCAATTGAAAAGCAAATGAGAAGCGTCTTGAAGGGGGCGGGGCATGTCAGATACTAGAGAGCATTTTGATTGGTCAGGAGATTTGATGGGAAACTGAGGTATGAGGAGACGTGAATTAAACCGTTGATCCATTTAGGCAAAGTGACAAACTACAAGCTTTGGATGTTTGTATCTCCGTAGAGTAGTTAAAACCGTGGTAATTTTAATCACAAATTGATGGTTTTGCTACACAAACCATAGCTTAATCATGATAATTTTAGTAAAATACAGGGCAAATCAATACACCAACAAAATATGGTCAGGTTATGGAGGAATAAGTCCTGGTTTGGGAAGGGTTAAAATCTTATCACCAATATTTTCACTCATTTTTTAATATAATGTTTTTTTGTAATGGCGAACACGGTGGCTCAGTGGTTAGCACTGTCACTTCAGTCAAGACTGGGTCAGTTGGCATATCTGTGTGGAGTTTGTATGTTCTCCCAAAGCTGGCATGAGTTTTCCCCAATGTCCAAACACATGTGCTAGAGGTGAATTGAAGAAGCTGAATTGGCCAGTGTATTAGTGTGTGTGAATGAGTGTGTATGGGTGTTTCCCAGTACTAGCCTGTGGCTGGAAGGGCATTCTCTGCGTAAAACATATGCTGGAATAGTTGGCGGTTCATTCCGCTGTGGCGACCCCTGATGAATAAGGGACTAAGCTGAAGGAAAATGAATGTTTGTAATTGCACTAAAAGGCCTTCAACAGACAATAAAAAAGCTTAAGGTGCCATAGAGGATGCAATTTACCTATTTTTTTTTTATATAAATAATTTTTTCGAAGTGACTGAAAATGTTTTGCGATGCTTTTTTTAAGGTTTTTTTTTCAGTGCAGCAGATGATGGAGGATCTTCTGTCAGTGTAGCCTCTGTGGACACAAAGCTTTTCTCACATTTATGACACAGGCTGTTTGACACATAAAACACTCTAGAAAAAGAGCTCTATGTACAGATGTAAAACACACACACACATATACACACACACACACACACACACACACACACACACACACACACACACGACTGCTGCTCTTGGCATCTTGTGTTCATCTTCTGCTACCGTCCTCATGCTGCTGTCGGCCTGTTTACACATAAAAATAACATTCATTATTACATAGTAAGGACATAGTTTAGGGCTGTAAGTACAATGAATCTAGTTCAAAACAATTATTATAGCTTACTAAGGTGACTAAAACTAACTCTAGTATTAATCTGAAATGGTTTATGCAGATTTTTGCTAATTATAATGAATAAAAGCCGAGAAGTATTTTAAGTTATTAAATAAGTTGTTATCTTTTGGGAGAAGCCTTGTGTCATTTTTGGTCAAAAAAAACACGAGAGCGCGCGCGCGCGGGCGAGATCGATTAATTAAGCTAGAAATATATATATATATATATATATATATATATATATATATATATATATATATATATATATATATATATATATATATATATATATATATATATATATATATATATATATATATATATATATATATATATATATATATATATATATATATATATATATATATATATATATATATATATATATATATATATATATATATATATATATATATATATATATATATATATATATATATATATATATATATATATATATATATATATATATATAGTTTTTTTGTTTTTTATGTAAATAATTAAATATTAACCATTCAACTTACATTTTCAGCTAGTTGCCAATTAAATATATCTCATTTTCACTTAGTTTAAAGTGATGTAAATATTAAATAACTAAACATTTAAATAAACATTAATAAAAAAATATGTGTATTTGGAAAAGTATTTCTTTAAAAAAAATTCTCAAACTAAAATATAAATGGAAAAAAATAACTATTAGTAAAATGTTCTAAATGATTTCTGTGATACTAAAAAAAGGTTTTGTCACTTGAAAATACATTAATAAACAAAAACAAAAAATCCCCTTCATTTCACGCTGGCCACATAACGTGATGCATCATATCAGAATTACCTGTGAGTGTCTGACGGAATAGCTGCCACTTCATGTGAACAAACTGCGTGAGAGAAAGACACAAAAGCATAAAGACGGGTCAGAATCAGGGTTCATCAGCAGTCGGCATCTCCTCCAGTCACTTCATTCATTTCAGTGCATTAGAGAGACATGATGCTGAGCTACAGAGAAGACCACTGATGAGGGACGGATGAAAGAAACAGCACAAAACAGCACTAGAGGAGTCTGAGGAGGGAAAAACAGCTCCAGATGAACACCATCACACACTGAGAGTCGCTCACATTCACTCATCTCCTCCTGCACTGAGGCTCTGAGGGATAAAATTGAACTGTAAGCCCATGCAAAACTAATCTCCATTCCCCCCCCCCCCAACATTTTTCAAAATATCTTCTTTTGTGCTTAACAGAAGAAAGAAGTAACAGGTTGAAACAAGTAAAAGTTAAGTAAATTATAACATTTTTGGGTGAACAATTTTGTTCTTTTTGAGGTAACGGGTCAGAAATGTGCTTTTACGCTGCATTATCTAACAGCATTTATGGATATTTTAGTTAAAACCATTTTTTTTCATTCCTTGAAATCAAATCTTTAACTGTAACTTGATATTTTTTGCATATCTAAATCTATGTATATATACACAGTCTACATATATATAT